AAGCATTATCGCTCGTAAGTAGACGCTGACTGAAGTTATATAATGCCTGCGCTGAAGAGATCAAAGTTGAAAATATTTCTACTCACGCAATTACCACTGGCGCTGCTAGCCCGTTTAAGGCTAAAGACCAATCTTATAGCGTTATTATAAGCCACTCGCACAGTATTCACAATTTGTGTACGATAATCACACCAAACATTCAAACAATATATACTGTATAAATACGTTCTAAATAACAAACACTTAACGTACTCTGAACTTTTTATAAATTTTCGTAAAATAAAATTTGCCCTAGCATAAATACACCGCAATTGTCGCTTCATATCAGCTTCATCCTTGCCATCTGATGACACCATATAACCCAGGTACTTTTTCACTGAGACGAAAACCAGAGGTTTACCATACAAGTACACAATTAGTAAGCACAATATTTAATTGGCTGATAAAGTTAAAAAATGGCTAATTAATATGCACATATTTCAACCAAAAACTAATCAGATCTGTGCATTATCCCAGAGCATCTATGTACCAATTTTCGATAAAATATGACACACACACGTAGATACTCAGACCCAAAAAATCGCAAAAGTCCCATTGTGTTCTTCAAACATGGGAGTCAAAAAGTGTAATAGTTTTGGCTGCATGGATTGATTTAGCCATTTTTCATACCTCTGGTCTTGGACTCCATAACCTGACAACAGGATCAATTCCACTTGTTGCTAACAAACAGGAACTTGGATGTGGTTGTAAACAATTGACGATAGACTCATCACCTCTCAGTACACGTACTAGATTAGTTGTAGATTTCTCCCACACAAAGAATGAGCCGTCATCAGAACCAGCTACTATGTATTGACCATTACTGGAAGCACACAAATAAATATTGAAAAAGATAATAAATATACATCAAATTTTAATGTCACAATAGTTTTCTTCATGTACTGTGCAGTAAGTTTGATTGAAGAAAATTCTCTATATTACCTCTATTTGAAAATGGCTGGCAAGCTGCAATGACTCTCTCTTGAACACAGTAATACAAGTGATTTGCGGAAGTATGATATTAAAACATTTGGTATGAATTGTGACAGTTTCAAGACGGCGTAGTTTTAAATTCTATTTTTATTTATACACTGTTCAAGACCAGACACACTTATTAATTTAAAACCATTTTGGAAGTGTTAATTGGAATAATAACCAAGTCATTTTATACACATTACCCTTCAATGAGTGTTCAAATACAGTACTTGTATTTTCGTGGATTAAAGAATGAACCTAAATTAGTATTCTGGTATTCCATGGTAGTGAAGACATTGATATATTCATTACATTGGGATATCCCCCCTTTTTTTTTAGCTCTGCTGTCGACTTTGTCAAGCGGAGCTTATCATATGAGTGATTGTCCATCGCCGCCCATGTCAACTTTTTACTTTTTCGACTTCTTCTTGAAAACTACAAGCCTGGATGCTTTGATACTTGGTGTATACCTCTCTTAGATTGGTTCATTTCGTGATGATATATTGATTCTCTAATTTTAATGAATATTTTTGTCATTTTTGGTAAAAAGTAATATTTAAGTCTGATTGTTTTGATATTATACATATAGTACTACAGGTAGACCTTTCTCAGATTTGTTCATTTTGAGATGATAACTTTGATGAATATTTTTCGTAATTTTTGGTAAAAAGTAATATTTTCAAATTCTTGTTGAAAACAGCAAGTCTGATTACTTTGATACTATACATGTTGTTAATTTTCTAATGATAACTTCAGTTCTTTAATTGAAATATGCATTGCTAACAGTGGCACTATCTCAGCCGACAGGCTGCTTGTTTATTATTGTTGTTTTGGTAATCCTAAATATGTAATGCATGTTAGTTGATTTTAATCAAAATGAAACACCATATCATTGTTTTCTGTAACACACATGGATAGGCTATCATAATGCATAGCAATGATGAGCAAAGTTACTATAAATAGTTCCTACCTGCCAAAGAAATTAGCTTCTTTGATATCTGTAGTAGTGTTACAATGACCACAGAATCTCTGACTATAATCACAACTATCAGTACGTAATATATTCTCATGTTCTGACAAGCTTTCTCGTTGGCGTCGACGACTACCATTAGTACTATCAGTCTTCTTATCACCTTCACTTTCTAGATATTAATGAAGGAATTTGATATAGTCATTCTTTGTGGAAAATAACAGAATAATACTATCCATGTCAGGAATGGATCAGCCTGGGTCAATTACCCACTCATTACAATGGTCTGAATTCCACCCACAGTCAGTGGTTGACTAATTTACCAAACAAGAGATGACAATTGTACCATCTTTTCTGGTTTCCATATATATTAAGCCCCTGCCTGGTTAGACTCAAATCCCATTTTTTCACTGCCGAAGTACTGTAACTCCACTTCCCTGCCGAGACCCGCTCATTATATCCGAGTTAGACCTGATTCTGTCTGTCATAGCAAAGATAATATGGATTCAGTGGCTGGTGACCCAGGTACTCAATTCCAGTTTCTCACATTAGAGATACTGTAACACTTACCTGTAGCAGTCTTTGAATAGAGAGTAGCACATATATCTCTATCAAGCTGTTCAAATGTATGATTCTTAGCATAGTCAGGAAATTTGTCTTTGAATTCTCTGAGACAATCTAAGGCTTCTTTTGCCCAAGTTAATTCAAATAAGCATTTTGCTAATCTGAAGTGAGCTTTACAGTGTGACGGATCAATAGATAATGCAGTATGACAATCTCTTAATGCAGCATATAAATCACCGTCCCTAACAGAATAGACATAGATATAGTCAGTAACTTTTGTTTTCCTCCCCACCTTAACACAGTATATATAAATTACCATTCCCAATAGAATCAACATTTAAACACTTGATGTACAACGCATTCTGCAAACTTTAATTTCATCTTTTTTTTGAAGGAAATTGGATTTAAAAACAAGCATTGGCCAATATCTAGGTAATTTAGACAGGTGATTTTTAGCATGATATAACATCAGGAATTATATTGACATTGAAAATAGGCAAAAAGAGAGCTTTTCAAAATTCAACATTTTTTGAGATTAAATTTTATATTCCAAGCATTGATTGTACACAAGACTCATGGTGAGAAAATATCCATCGATGAAAGTGATGAATTAGATGTTATTTATATCTATGCAGTACTTGGCAACATTTGTCAAATAATATCATTATCAGAATTCATTTTTGCATTTCACAATTAAAGTACTCACCATTTTCGTTTCATGAAAGCAGCTGCTCTGTTGGCCAGTAGAACAGCACTATATGGAACTAAACTCAATGCCTGGTTATACAAAGTAATTGCATATGTCCATTGTTGTCTGGCAAACACATCATTTGCCTTAATCTTTAATAATTCCACTCTTGCTGGTAAATTACTAGCTTTCCCACATAAACTTAATCTGCAGAAAACATTACAAGGTTAACATAATATGGCTACCATGTCCGCAGTGACTGACAGTTGGGCAAACATGATTGGAATTAAAAATAAACTTCAATGTAAACTTAGCAATTGCAGTCATTCCCATAGATTTCTAGTAGTAAAAAAAATAGAGTCTGTCCAACTACAATGTTAGAAGTCTTTATTGAAGTATGGGAGCACTCCAAGTGGTTAATATAGTGGGTAATAAGAAATACATGTAGTAGCTCATTGGTTATTGGTTAGGATTGGGCCACAGACTAGATTAGTTCGGATGAACTACCTCTGTGGTCCACACCAAGAAATTATTATTATTATTATTATTATTATTATGATTACTAGAATTGTTATTATTATTGGTGAAATAAATCATAAATCAAATCAAAACCAGAACTTGATCTCCAAGATTTTATTTCTACCGACGTTAGCAGTTTAGATTTCTAGACTTGTTTATTTTAAGACTTATGTGGAATACTTCGAGAATTTTTTGAAATTGCCTGTGTTCAAAGATGAATCTTTGTGAATCTCTGCAAGTTAAAAACTTTGGAATTAATGAAATTTGAACCAGAGGTTTTGTTAATAGGCAGTTGCTGGCTAAATACCTGTCTATTTCAATAGAACAGTCAGACTAGCGACCTGTATAGAAAATTGTCACATTTTTTTTATTTTTTTTCCTATTTTTTAAATCTAATTGAGCTTGGCAAAACCCCTGTTTGAACAAACATTCAATAAGGAAACCAACATGATTACCAACATTCTGGCATTAATGAAATTATTTAAAATTACATAATCCCTGCAATTCTGATAAATTTAGTCAATAGCCTATTTAACATAATTAAAAAACTTTAACAATGAGAGATTTAAAGCAACTCTACAGACAAATTTTTAAATACAGAAACAGAACTTCTATAAAATGAAACATTTGCCATTGAAGCTCATTATAACCATCCATCAAGGTTTACAAATAATAATAATTATAATAAGATTTATTGTTCATTGTAACATTTTACCATAACAACGCATAATTTCTCATGAATGTACTCACCTTGTTGCATCTTCACTAAATTTGATACCATTAGTATGTGATATGTGTTTTGTTGTACCATTGATGGAGGTACCATTTGCAGATAAAGCTTCAGCAACGTCTAAAACAAGGAAAATTACTAAGTTCATTACTGGT